TGAGGACATAGAGGATCGTTGTCGTTCGATTTCAAACGTGGGCGTTTGATTCCACCAACGATCTTTACGAAAGCGAATTTGTTGTTTAGGAAAGAAATATTTAAAAATAAAATTGCAGGGATTAAAACACACATACAAAATCTAATTCTTGATTGCATTCTTATGATAGAGATGGATAATGAGAAAGAAGAAGAAGAAGAAGAAGAAGAAGAAGAAAAAGAAAAAGAAAAAGAAAAAGAAAAAGAAAAAGAAAAAGAAAAAGAAAAAGAAAAAGAAAAAGAAAAAGAAGAAGAANGAAGAAGAAGAAGAAGAAGAAGAAGAAGAAGAAGAAGAAGAAGTAGTAGTAGTAGTAGTAGTAGTAGTAGTAGTAGTAGTAGTAGTAGTAGTAGAAGTAGAAGTAGAAGTAGAAATGGAAGTAGAAGAGGTGGGGTAGAGAAGAAAGGGAAGAGAGAAAAGAAAGAGGAGGGAGTGGGATATACACGCATACTATGTACACATATACACATATTTACGTTCATGCATACACATAGAGAACGTGGCAGTTGGCGTGCAGCGTAGAAAACGAAACAATAATTCGTGCGATCACAATGCACGAAGCAGTATTGTGGACGCGGGGTCAGGAGCGTATCTATCGGTGGTCGCAAGTGGTGTAACAATACCACTAAAAGCTCTTACATGTATTATGTGTATGTGTATAAATCTTTCGTATATTTCTCTTTTTCTCTCTTTCTCTCTCTCTCTCTCTCTCTCTCTCTCTATCTCTCTCTCTCCCTTTCATCATCGCGAAGCGTAATCTGCCTCGAGCCAGCAGCATCACCAGGACCACTAGGAGGCGAGCGAACTCTTGCCGTATCCACCCACGACGTGGCATACTGTAACGAGGCTACAGTCCATTAAGTGCGTGCGGCTATTATGGCTAATGCATTATGAAGTAATAAAAAACGGGAACTATAGCATAGCGTCTTTCTCTCTCTCTCTCTCTCTCTCTCCTTTTCTTTCTCTTGCTTTGTCTTTCTTTGCACGCGCCCAGAGAGAACCGGACCACATTCCACGTCGGAAAAGGATATGTGTTAGTATTATGTGTATATGTGCGTATATGTACATGCCGATTTCAACGAACGTTAGTTTCTTGACGCTACCCGATGCTCATCGATAGACCATCGAACTCTTCTCTAAGCGATAAATGTAAGCATGAACGTTAGTAACTTACGTGTCTCTATGTTCACATATCATTCGTTACTTTACTCAGAAGTATTCCGTTGTAAATCAAAGACAATTGCGTTAGCCATATATGTAAGGATTTTGTATCGCGTGGGAATAGTCGATTCGAGTCGTACAACAACAACGGTGTCGTTTACCACGTCTTAACCGATATCCCGTTTCTTCTTTTATTTCGATAGATCGATATTGCCGATTCCTCCTTCCGGTAACACTCGATAAAGAAGACCGTTTGAAAGAAGGAAGTAGGAAGTCTTGAAATTTTTACACAACCGGGAAGGATCTTTGAAGAAACGATAGGGATGGGATGGCGCCTTCTGTTGTAAGACGAGAAGGAGAACAGAAACAACCCTTTTCCTTCTTCTTCTTCTTTTTCTTTTTCTTCTTCCTGTCTATCGTAGCGCGAAAGTACCTTGGAAATTGTCGACTATCTAAAAATATCTTCTCTTTCTCTTTCTCTTTTTTCTTTAAAATTTGTTCATATTTTTGTCTACGTCCTTTTCTCTTCTTCTTCTTCTTCTCTCTCTCACACACATTCTCTGTCTCTCGGCTTTCCGTTTTTTCTTGTCTTTTTTTGTTCTCTCTCTTTCTCTCCGCCTTTCCACTACCCTCGAGCGAAGAGACGCGACTCGTCGGCCATATGGTCCACGAGGGAAAGATAAAAAATTCATATTTCCACCGTGGAAGGGCTGAGGACGCGGTGAGTGTATTTTTAAAAGCACGCGCTTCTCTTGAACGCGTTCATTCAACTTTTCCACTCCTTGGTACTCGACGATTCTTCAAATCTCATAATTCCACGTTTACTACCTATCTTTCTCTTTTTTCATTTTGTTCTTTTTTGTTGAACTCTGTTTGAAAAAAAGCAGCATATGGAAACGATCTCGAATTATCTAAGTTGGATCAACTAACTCTAACATTTTTTAAATACCAATCAAAATATTCGCCTAACCGTTGCCCATTAATAACATTCTTATTATTATTATTCTTATTACTATTACAGTTATTAATATTATTAACATTCGATTATATTCATTTATTTTTTTCTCTCTTTTCCCATAGGTTTTCTTGTTTTTTTTTTTACTGACATTTTTTCAAAAATCTTCCGAATTTTTCAATCAAAATTGACTTTCGTCGTTTCAGCTGTTCATTAATGTTCGTTCGTTTTTTCGTTCCTTCTTCAAATCATTTTCTCTCCCTTTCAGGCAAGGAATCTGTACATCTTTCGATCGTGGAGAGATATTTTCATCAAGAGTGTGAGCCTTTTTCTCGACTACCTGGAATCGTATACTTTTTTTTCTCTCTCTCTCGATCCAGCCCTCTTCCTCGATTCCGTTATTCAAGGGTGCGCGTCCTTACGTCTAATGGTTTTTCTCATAGCGGAACGGAGAAACCCTTTTTTTTCACGTCAAAATGCAAACCCTGTATAGGCACCATTCTCTCTCTCTTTTTCTCTTTCTCTCACTCACACAAATGCACACACAACGATTTTATGGAAGGTTTTTAAATCACGCAAAACAACGCGAGTCGTCGTCGTAGTTCATAACCGGTGAGATTTAAGAAACGCGATACTTTATCGACGCCTTCGAAATAAAAACTCTCCGTTAAGAAGAACCTCTATCCAATCCATTTGAAGAAAAAGGGGTTCGCCCTCAACCCTTTCCTTCAATCATCGTACAGGACCTAACGGGTCGCAATTTTTTCCCACATTCTACTTTTCCAAATTGACTATCTACCTGCCTTTCTTTCCTACAATGAGTTGCTCTCAGATTTTTTAATTTCCTCTCTTATTTAATATATATATATATATATATATATATATTTTTCTTTTTTTTCTTTTACTACTTTTTTTACTTTTTCTTTTTTACTTTTTCTATCTCATAAAAGAAAATCTACTTTACCTATCACATCAGTCGTTTGTAAAAAGGAGGAGGACAGATTTTCAACATAATCATCTCCACCCCTCTTTCTTTCTTTTCGTTGTTCATTTTGACATGGCTACGGGTTCGATAAATCAAAAAAAATTTCATCAAATAATAGAATCTGAATGGAAAAAGACAATGGTCCCTTTTCATATAAACGAATCCTATTCGGTTTTAATCGTTCCTCTTCACAAACCACCCGCACTCACGCGCACAATATAGAAATGATCTCGGTGAAATTTCTAAGTAAAGAAAAGATAAAATGGATGGTACCATCATTGTCGTCATTCTCATCATCATCATCATCATCATCATAAAAACCATCTTCTTTTTTTCTTATTTTTTTATCGGTCAATTTTCATCTGGTCTCTAGAACGTTTTTAATCGAGTTCTACGGATACATTAAGATAATAATTTTCAGTACGCCAAACGAGCGAGCATGTCTCCGGTTCGGAAAAAAAGGGAGGTGCCCAGTTCTCTCGGGGAGGCGAGAACTCTGTTCTGTTATTGGATGAAAACTTACCCTCGTTCGCGTATCCTCGTGCTACCCTTCATTGCACCAGCCGAGCATGCGCTTTTACCGAGACCACCACTTTGTTCTCGCTTCCGCATTGGAAAGAAAATTTGCATAGGGAGTTTGGGATTCGGGTTAAACATAAAAGGGACGACGTAAGGGAGAGGGGTTGTTTTTTCTTCTTTTCTTTACAAAATTACGTTACGTTTAATTAGCGTTAACGTAACCATTGCGAATCGTTCGAATATTTTCAAGATCGTACTATTATTCAAAATCATATAATAAAAATTATTTATAAAATCCTTTATAAATATGTCTACTAATACATGATTAAACTAAGATCCAATAAATCACAAATAAAAAAAAAGAAAATTCCAAATAAAGATTACATTAATAGACGAAGAAATAACTTGGTATCAGCTCAAAGAGTTTTGCGATAAGAATCGTTGAAAGAACTGGACGATGTAAAAACGAGTGGGATGTCCTTTTAAAACAGGGGTTTGCGGTGATTGGCCAGTGTGCAGGTCTTTCAATACACATGCGAAGCAAGTAAGCACTCTACCCTACTAAACCACCCTCGGACGATAGAAAATGAGTTTTCGAAGCTAACGACGCAGGAGTTTCGTTCGTTCTAATCCAGGGATCGATAAAGATCTTGCAATCGAGGACAACAAAAAAGGGGTTGCTAATCGTCGGAGAAAAAAAAATTAGAAGGGGGTGAGCAATATAGATGACTATGACGACGACGACGACAACGTCTAAGACTATGAGGACAAAAAAAAGGAGTAGTCATCGCGACGGTGAACGACGTCAAGTTCCATCTCTTTCTCTCTCTCTCTCTCACCCTTTTCCCCTTTCTTTACTTTTTTATTTTTTTTCTTTCTCTCTCCATCTCCCGGAGGCGGGGAGTCATAGTGTTGCGCGCGCGCGCTCAGGGGTGGGGCATCGCTCAGCTGGGTCGAGCCGTTCGACGAGTGGTGGGGCTCGTGAAGTCGAAGATGCCGAGTGGTGGAGGGTCTTCTCGCGCTACCGAACCTCCTCCGTCTCGTTCTCGTGTAGTTCCGTCTCTCTCTTTCTTCCTAGCGTCGTTTGGCAGTGGTGGTGGTGGCGGAGGGGTTCAGTCATCTCGCGCCAGCCGAGCCACGCGCATGCTGCTCTCTTCTTCGATTTCGATCTCGATTCAATTCGATTCGATTACTCGTGACAATATTTCTTGGCTTGGTATTATAACGCGGATTTTTTATTTTATACCATACAACAACAACAATAACAATATTTAATAATAATAATAATAATAATAATAATAATAATAATAATAATAATAATAATAATAATAATAATAATAATAACTCAGAAACGATAAGCAACGAACGAACGTTATTGTTTCTATTTAGTCATATTTCTTTAAATACGTTAAAAGGACGAGGACGATAATTGTTTCTCTCTCCCTTCCTCTCTACTACTTTATGTTCTTCTTTTTCGCTCTTCTTCTTCTTCTTTTCTACACGCTCAAGGAGCGCAAGTTCGGAACTGGACCGCCCTCTCCGGACGGAAGCCACGGAACAACACCCCCACTCGACTCCCTCCACTAAAGCAAACTACCACCTCTACCATTGCCTCTTCCTCTTCCTCCTCCTCCTGTTGTTGTTCTTCTCCTCCTCCTCCTCTTCGTTCTTCTCGATTGAGAGAAAGAGAGAAAGAGTGAGAGATTTCACGCCAATCCCCCCACTTTCGAAAAGGAGAGAGGCAGATACTCGACGATAGAGCCTCCGGCACACGGGCACCGAGAGTACCACGCGAGTGGAGAACCCGTGGCTCCGTCGCGTTCAACCCCCCGAAGAAGACCGGAGAGGAGCTAAGAATTTAAAGTAAATCTATATTAAATAGTAGTATAGTAGTATATCAAGAAAAGAAATTATTTTCTATTTGCTGTTTGTCTCTCTTTCACTCTCTCTTTTTGTTTCACCTTCATGTCGTCGTAAACGATTTTAGACGACCAAATTTTTCCTAGCTCCGGTCAAGCATACGATTTCTCATTATCCACTCGTCGTTCGAATTTGAAAAAAGAAAATAACAAGGAAACTACTTCGAGTGGTGGTGGTGGTGGTGGTGGTTGGTAGTGGTCCATCGTCAATTTGGAGAATGGAGAACGTGAGATCGTTAAAGACGTGGAAGAAAAACTATCGCTAAACGCGGGGTGGTTTCCGTTAACAAGGGCTGATCGAATTACCTCGACTAACCGAGGTGGATATAAGGGTACGCGACGCGTTGACCACCCCGTTGACTGAGGATAAGAAAATACCTTTTTTCCGCGTGGAAAATGTGAGTGCCACCGAACAACGTTTATACTATCTGCGGGTGCCTTTGGTTAATTTTTTTTTCTTATTCTTGTTCTCTCCCTTTGTTTTCTTTTCTTTTTTTTTTTGTATAATTCTCTAATTATTTTACGAGAATCTTCTTCGGGGGGCTCTCGTGCGAGTAAGGTGTCGCGAAAGAAAAACTACTTGGCCATTAGAAGAAAAAGTGTTCGTGAACTATTAGGTGTGAGTGATTTATACGTATATTCGAGAGGAGTTGACTGTGGTGCTTTATATTTCCTTCCTTCCTTCCTTTCATTATTTTTCTTTCTTATTTTTATTTCCTTTTTCTTATCACTCTATCCTTGTTATTTTATCACGGAAGTGCGCGAACTCCGATTTCGTTTCGATCGAGATTAAAATAGAGAACAAAACGTGTTAACTCGACATTTGATAACGAGTTATATTATTTCTCCTTTCCATTTATTTCATTTTTCTTTTCAATTTATCCCTCTCTTTCTGTTCATCCATTTTTTTCGTTATTTTTGTGTGAACACGTTACATTTCGTGGTCGTAATAAAGTGTTTGGAAGTTTTTATATTTATATAACCAGTTGGAAGGATTTTTGATCGTCGTGCCGACGGACTATCATGCTAACTTTAAGTGCGATAAGTGGAAGGAACGAGGATATTCGCTGAAAAGGGATTTTTGAGGTAAATATTATCTTACTATTTGTTATCATCTATCTTTTTATTTCACTATTTTCTATCTCTTTCTCTCTATCATTTCATTAAGAAAACGTGAAACATTGGTTGAGCTACATTAAAAATCTTCCGTCTCATAAATACACTTATAAATGCATTTAAATAGACACATGCGCACCCGTTCGCGCGCACGCGCTCATTAACACATCTATATATATATATATATATATACACACACACGTATATACATGCGACTACTTATAACTAGAATTTTATAACATTTTCTTATGTTCGGTAGAAATAGAGCGTAAATAATCGCACATAAATAGCTAATGTTCGAGCTCGAATGGTGCGACCTGTGAACCGTCGACAGAATATCTCGATACGATGAATAGTCGATCTCAATCTTGCGATATGAACATCGATTTCTGTTTAAAAAATTTAAAATAATCCACAATTTTTCTTTAGAAATATTACTTTTTTTATTATTATAAATCGACGAAACTACGCACAATTTTTATAAACAATTTTTAAATGAATTTTTAAGATTAAAATTCTCTATCTTTCTTATATTCACGACGTGAAAATACAATGTTAGTCAAAAAATATTTGAATTATGCTCGCTCGACTGCTCGTCGTCGTCGTTGTAGTCGTCGTAGTCGTAATCGTCGTGCTTTATCGCATCTGAAAGCTGTAAAACAAGTTGGCATTTACTCTTTGCCACGAAACGGCGACGAAAACGACAAAGAGAGCGGATTGCATTTTCATTTGCTGCCGTGTTAGAAATTTTCTTCTCCTTGATTTCATTTCTCGTTCAGTATTTGCATAGTTTGCCAGGATAATACAAATTTAGCATCGTTAGAATTATTACGAAAATTCTTCGGTTAAAAAAAAAAAAATCCTCTTTAAGTGTACAATATATCTTTCCGTCTGTCCATTTGTGTATTTTTGTAAGTAAAAGAAAGAGAAAAAGAGAAAAAGAGAGAGCGAGCGATAATTTCGTAGTTCGCGCCAAAACATATTTGTCTACTTTTATGCTCGGTGATAAATCAGAAAATTCATGCGATCGTATTAGATCTACAGATCCTTTTTGAGGTTTTACTTACCTCTCATTCCATCTTTCTTTCTTTTTTTCTATCTTTCTTTCATTTTCTAATGCGATAGACGTCCAAAAAAAAACGTTCGTTCTTAAATACGATCGAGAGAAAATGAAAGTAAAATGTGCCAGGCAATAAAGTGAAGATAATTCTACGTATGTTAGTTTCGAATACAAAGCTTACCGCCTTGGAATTATATGAAATAGTTCTTAAGTGCTCTATGCAATAAACTCTCTCGAATAGAGTTTTCGTTTTTTTTCTTTTTTTTTTTTCATCATTCTTTCATTCCTATCGTTGACCATGATGATGATTTTCGTCGTAATTAAGAGAAGAAGAAGAACGAGAAGAAACATCGAACTGATGTAAAAGTTAATGATTCTTCGAACTAATTTTATTACAAAACAAAAATATAAAAAAAAACAAATTCGTCAAACAAACGATAAGCTTTATTATGAGATTTTCAATAGAATAAAAATTATTTTCCCACTTCTTACGATTAAAAAGAAAATAAACAATATCGAGTGGAAGTCAATGCAAATAATTTTTCTATTATCCGAATAAAAGAGAAAATCTTTCTCTCGCTCAGTGAGAAAGAGAGAACGAGGACAGCAAACAAGGGTAGGGAGATAGGTGCAGGACGGAGGTAGAAGGAACGGGTTCTAGTTTCGTCGCGAACTCTCTTTCGCGACCTTGTGCACCCGAAGAATTCGACCTCGATTCCAGGCGAAACAGGAAGGTTTCCCCGTGAGATTATGTCATTTCCTCTCTCTCGTCTTGTTTTTGCTTTTTCCCACGGAAGTCGTCGCGGCGCTTGTTCTTTCTTTCTCTCTCTCTCTCTCTCTCTCTTGACGCCCACCTCTTCCAGCATCTCGTTTTTGCCAAGAGTGCCAGACTTGCACGTTTCTCCCTCGTTTTCCTTTCTTTCTTTCTCTCACTCATTCTCACTCATTCTCTCTCTTCCTACGTATAAATAAATGTTTCTTTTTTTTTTCTTTACTTTTTTTCTTCTTTTACGAAACACAAAACTCCTAATTGACAATGATAAATTCGTTGGTTTAGTTGAATTTTTACGAAACGAATAAGAGGAAAACTCGTTATCGAGAATTATTGTGAAATGTCATTAATTAGCGTTTTAACATGTCGAATCGCAAATTTCTGTCACCTTTGATCGGCCGCTTATATTTTTTTTTCAATCGGTGACCAAGTTAAAACTCACCTATGACCGGCATTTTTATATTCCATTTATATTATTACATTCTTCCATATCTAATCTTAGAATTGCACACGTGTAAGACAATTATTTAATTAAACGCAAAATCATTTGTAACTATCAATCTATCTCTCTTTCTCTCTTCTCTCTCTAACTCGCTGACTCACTAGAAAAAGAAGACACGCGTATTACGATGTGTTTTGGTGACGCATTGTTTTGAATCAGGTAGTTTCGATTCACCTTTTATATTGTTATATCCATCATTAAGGAAAACAACACCGTTCGGTCATCGAAAGATGTTTCCTTCTTTATTAACTTTTAGTATTGCTTAGAACGTTATCGAAGTCGTATTAGTAATGGGGGATAGCTGATTCCTTCGGGTTCCTTCGAGATTACGATACGAAAGAGAAGAAACAAAGAATAGGAATAAGAATAAGAATAAGAAGAATAAGAATAAGAATAAGAATAAGAATAAGAATAAGAATAAGAATAAGAATAAGAATAAGAATAAGAATAAGAATAAGAATAAAAATTAGAATAAGAATAAGAATAAGAAGAAGAAGAAGGAGAAGAAGAAGGTTGAAACGACGAAGAACGATAAAAGAGACGTAAAAGCGAGGAAAGGGAAACATTCAGGTATATACTCTTACGTACGTACATACACACATACATACATATATACATACGTATAAAGAAGAAGAGTAAAAGGAGTAAGAGAAGGATGGGAAGGGGAAGAGAGGAGGAGGAGGGAAAAGGGATAGAGAGAAGCATAAAGGTGGGAAGAGAGTTAAAGGTTGGTCCTGAACGTGGTTGTGCTGCCGTTGTGCTGCTAGCCGAGTGTAAGAGAAAGAAGGAAAACGACAGGTAGCGAGACGAAGATAGAAGGTACTTACTTACTCGTGAAACGAAAGGGGTGTACAAGGGGGAGGGAGAGAGATGGAATAACGTAGTAGAGGAAGAAAAGCTCGAAACAATTGGAGGCGCGGAGGCGGCCGCATTTCATGTTGCTTGGCATCGGCTCCCTTTAAAGAGTCTCTTGCTTTTTGTTAGCTCTTCGAAAATTATGATTGTTTGTCCGCGAGATTTACTGCTCGGAGGCCCCCTTGGCGCGGCACATATGTGTATATAGTACATATACGTACATATAAGGTGCCCTCGAGGGGTATCTCTCTCTCTCTCTCTTTCTCTCTCTTGCACTCCCCTTGCGTCTTCTCGAAAGTTGACGGAGGGAGAAGGAACTCTACTTCGAGTTTACCGAGATTAAAGAATCTGGAATTTACTGCGCTCGTTACCAAACTAAAACTTATCTTTCTCTCTCTCTTTCTCTTTCTCCTTCTCTTACTCTTGCTCTTGCTCTTGCTCTGTCTTTCTCTTTCTCGTTAACTAGTACTCTTTCATTATTTCCTTTTCTCTTGTTCACATCTTTATCCGACAACGTTCCAGCACGTAATCTCAACGAGAACGAAAGATTAGAGTGCAGTTATTTGAACATCATCCACAAAGATTCTACGTAATCTAAACATTTTGTAAAGGTTATTTTTTTCGTTTATTTTTTTTTTCCTTATTTATTTTTGTATTATCGACTAATCTAGCAAACGGTTTTTTTTTTTAATATTTGAGAAACCTTACTTTTTTTTTCTTCAACGTTGACTAATTACAAAAAATTGAATGCAAATTTTGTTATAACAAAGAGGAAGGAGGGACGGAATATGACGTATCTATGAATTTTGTGAAAGTTGAGACAGAGAGAGAGAGAGAGAGAGAGAGAGAGAAAGATGATAGTTGTTTCAATGTTACATTCAAAGAAGGGAAAACATTTAAAAGATGAGAAGAAGGAGGAAGAGGAGGACGAGGAGGAAAAGGACTTTTTAAAAGAGGGTCATGAACGAGATATAAAATCTTTTTAGCGTGAGTCTTCGCGTTTATTTTGCCAAATGCATGAGAGAACATTATCGGATTTCGGTAAGAATTTTCATCGTAAAACGTCCTCTTTCTCTCTCTCTCTCTCTCTCTCTCTCTCATTCTCTCACTCTCCTTCTTTCTCTCTCTTTTTCTGATTCTCTTTCTCTTCGTTTCGGTCCGCTTGCTGTATATTCGCCTGATTTATTTCGGATCTTATTGTACCTCTGAACTAAACCAGTCCGGCTCGCGCGTATAACCAAAAGTTGCTTCTCTCTCTTTCTTTCTCTCTTTCCTCTTTTCCTCCTCTTCTTCTTCTTCTTCTTCTTCTTCTTCTACTTCTTCTTCCCTCTTTCTTGAGCCGCTTCGAACGATCGCTCTATAAATTTCACGAGTCTTTCGAACCCTATATTTTCTCGTTATCCTCGCGTTTTGCACGACACGTTTTATTAAAGCACGGTAATTTTACGAGGTCCAGCCTTCTCCTCTCGCGTACGATCCTCTCTCTTTTTTTCCTACTCGTTCTTCCTCTTACTTATTTCGTCTCTTTTCATTCTCTTTCTCTCTCACTCACTCACTCGCATTCGTTCGTACTCGTTCTTTCGTTCTTTCATTCGTTCGTTTAAGCCAAATTCGCTGTAGGTATCATTTTATTTATTTTTCTTTTTTTTAATTCTTCTCTCTCTCTCTTACTATCTTTTATTTTCTCTCTTTTATATATATATATATATATATATTACATATATTTCTTGAAACCTTCAGCATCGTTATTCGGATCAGATATTTCATAAAAAAACGCGAAG